ATGAGATACTATCAACTCAGAATCTCATGGTGAAGATTCAGTGGATTAATAATACATTTAAAACATTAGTTCAATGCAGTATTAGCTCAATACATGTTGAGGTGGGCTGCCCATACAAATGAACCTTTCATTTCTTAAAATTAAATTTCAATTAATTACATGCCCCCCTCCATGGCTAACCATCATCTAATAAAGTAAAAATTAATATCAAGTATAGTTACGTTATAGAACCTTGTCTAGACTACTTTCTAGGCTCTGCCTGGTGTGTCTGTGTCCTTTCTGGACCCTTACTTTCTAGCCTTTGGATAAAAATGTCTGCCTATGCATGTGTTGACTCAGCTGCCTGGAATGCAGCCTGGGCCTCTGTTTATGAGGAAAACCACTCCAACAGAGTTTCTGCTTCCCAGCGAAGTCTTCCCTGACAGCGGTTTAATAATGGCACTTGGTGTGGTCGGGTCTGGGGTTGGGACTGGATGTGTAATGTGTTTTAATCTCCACTCCCTTCAAGTTGTCCTCATTCTGCTAGAATTCCAGGTCTGAGCTGAAGCCCCACCCCACTTCCTCCCTTCTTTGTAGGTTTGCATAGGACTTTTTGTAGAAATTTCTATTAGTATGTCTCTCCCCTAAGTCAGTTACTCACAGTTCATTTCCCCTTTCTCCAGATGCTTCTGACGTGCTCAGCATCCCTGTCACTCATTTTATAGGAAATGCTTTTTTTGTGTCTTCCATCTTCCAGTCGGTAATTCTCTCTACTGCCTGCCTCAGTGGAATCCTAGACTGACAGAAGACTTTCCTTCCTGCCTTAGTTAAGCTGACTGTGGTCAAGTAGCAGCTGTGTGTTCTCTTTTCAATCACTGCTTCTCAGCTCTAGGGAAAATCCTGCTTTTAAAAGGCCAGCCACCTTCCTCTACTTTTTTTTTTTGCCTCACTGAAGACTTAGACATTGCAATAATCACAGTCTCCCTTTCTGCCCTAGTCTAGTCATTGTTCTGACCCATTCCAAAACCACAGTGTCACAGCACCTTTGTCTTCTGTCTCTTCATAGTTCCAACCCCCGTCCACTAGATTTCAGCTCTGGGCAGCTGCGTCCTTCATGGCTCCTTAAAACTCACTTGGAGTCAGGCGTTCATAAAATACTAAATCCAAACATCCTACTTTCCCATAGTGATCTCTTGCTATCATTCCCAGTTACTTCTTCCCTCATGCTTTGATTGTCCCTGGGTTTCCAGTCCCTCATTCCCTTCGCTTTTCTTGTCTCTTTTTATTTCCTTTCTGCATGAACTTACAACGCCAGATGCCTTCTTGCTTCTGTGTCTACGTTCTATGTTCCAGCTTACTTCCATCACATTCTGGCACAACTCGAGTCCAGAACTCCAGCTCTCCCTGGCCTATGTCCAAATTTGTGCTGCTGACCTCTGTAGGTGCAAATCTGCTTTGAAGATAGATGACATTACCATTCTCTGGCCACAAATGATCTGCCACCTTGCCTAAAACCTCTTGTGTTTTGTTTGCACATTTTGTTTCTTATTCTTGAATCTATAGTAGCTGAAATTTGTTTCCTTCAGTACCTCTACTTCTACTCAACAGAGGACCGAGTCTCCTACATTGTTAACAAAATAGCCATTATCAGTGTTTACATTCTTCAGTCATCAAACCTGGTGAATTGTACTTATCTCATCCGGTACTTCCTGTCCCTCTATTATGACGAAATAGATGTCATTGCTCAAATTCAAAATCTATTGCCTTGCCATTACTAGGGATATTGTCTATGCTGACACGTTGACTATGCTTTCCTCCAGTATAACTTACAGATTTCATTTTCTTCCTTTACCATCTCTTGTATAACAGTAACATCAAGAAGCATCTTATAGCCTTTCAACATCTACAACAACAACAACCATTGTGGTTCATGCCTGTAATCCCAGGCCTAGGGAGGCTCAGGCAGGAAGCTAGGGAGTTCAAGGCTAGTCTGTCATATAGTGATTAAGAGGCCATCTTGGGCTACCAGATATTCCCTCTTAAAATAGTCAAAAGAAAAGAAAGATCCCACGCTTTTGAGTTCCTTTTGACTTTGCACCCACTCCTTAACCTATTGTGATTTGTGCACCTTTAACACACTTTAAAGAAATTGTATTTTCCCTAAGCACTGATGTCTTTTGGGTTAATAAATACAACAAGCATATTACAACTCTAAATATTTGTCAATATTATTCACTATTTTTTTATTTAAATATTGTTAGTGAAGACTTCAAACATGGCGAACATAGATCGATAAATGCACTAGTGCCATGTAAATCACTCACTTTCAATAATTACCTACACACATCCAATCTTTTTTATCTGTATTTACGAGCTCTCCCTTGCCTAAATGGCTTATTTTGAGTCACTGGCACCAGTAAGTTTTTTTTTTTCATTTGGTATTAAAAGGTTGAGAAGCAAGTAATATAGTTTATATAAATGTTCTGGTTTGCATGCCTAGAACATAAATCCATGTGAATTATTATAATATCATAATCATATCTAAAAATTCTTGAGTGCAATTAAATAGTAGTCATATGTCTTTGACAGCTTTCTAACCTCTTAAGCAAGCTGTCAGTTTTAGCTCAGATCTATGTAAGAACCCTATTTTGAGATTATTTGAAAAAGTCTCAAGTTTGGTTTTATTCTATTTTGTTTTGATATACAATTTCCACTAACATTTGGTTTTTGTTTGTTTGCTTCTTTTTCTTTTTTTCAGTTTGTTGTAGAAATTAAATCCATTGTCCTGTCAATTTCCACATAGCCTGGCAGGGCTGCTTACATACCTGTGGTGTTATTTAACATGAGGCATCTGTGGTTTTTTTTGTATATAATCTCAGGGCGCTGAAGACTGATAAGATTCAGAATTGATACTGTGTATGAGCCTTCTACAAAAATGATACATCTACTATCCTAATTACATATTTTTTTCCAATTTTTACAATATTATCAGCCATAACCATTACTGTAATCACTGGGAATTATAAAATGATAAAACTCAAATTTGTTTCATATTTCTGTATTGGTTGGGATATATCGATATATATGTCATTCTCCAAAGTTTCAAAAGTATATGAGCAAATAGAAGAAATGATGAAGTAGTATTCTCAGTTCTTTCCACCTAGCTCTTCTAATTTAGATATAGTTTTAGAGATCAGCTCATAACAGTGTGAAGAAGTCTTCATTTTTTATCTACTTTTCTCCTCACAGTGGATTAATGAAGACTTATGGGATTTTTCAGCCATTTGCTCTTTGTTTGGTATTTCAATAACTGCTCTTCACCAGACAGCATTTCTTATTTGGCTCATCTATCTACAGCATGGACTCCCTAATGTGAGAATGGCTTGTTAGGGTCTGAAGTATCTTTAGATCTTTCCAGTTATTCCCCAGGATTTTGTACCATTGTACATTTCCTGAACCGATGTATAAGAATGGCTGACTGCTTTCAGATAGGAAATCCTTAGATTTTTTTTTTTCCACCTGACGTTTGAAAATAGACTTTTGAGTGTGGATTTCATTTGAGTTTCTCTTATAAACGGGGCTGTGGATATTCCCAGACAATAAAGGACCACTTCTGTCATCCTAATATTGCCATCTCCCTGAACACCCATGAACACACACACACCACAAACCCAGTGTCTTCTATTCCCTGACTTGCTTTCTGCTCCTTCTCTGGTACCACATCTCTTGCCTTCCTCCAAGGCCCTCCTCCACCAAGTCTGCATGTTTCCTTCCAGGGCCTCTCCTGTGACTACAATTGTCATTGCTCTTCTGATTGCTACTAGATATGCAGCTGCAGCCCAGGACCCTCCTCCTCCTGTCCCTTGCAGCAAATGGCTTGCTGAAGGCCTTCTTCCACGGCACCTTCCAGGTACTCTAAGCTTAGCTCCCATAAAACCCTTCTCCAACATATCCTTCCCTGGGCATACTGCACTACAAGCAGTGAAAGCTACCATAGGTCACTAACTTCTTTTGTGTCAGGACGTGTCTGTGTGGATGTGTGGATGTGTGTGTGCAAGTGTGCTCGCCCTTGTGCGTGCTTATGTGAAGGCCAGATGTTGCTGTTGGGTGTGGGCAAAACACTGTCCACCTTAGTATTTTGATAGAGGGTGCCCTGCTGAACTCAGAGCTTTATATGGGTGGATTGGCACCTCTCCAGACTCCCTGGGTTTTGCTGACTCTAACTTACAATCCTCCCCATCAAATCACCAATCACCCATTTCTGTGTGTTTCATCCCTTCCCTTTCCATCTCTGCCACGACTCCTCATCCTCTACGCCGCTGCACCTTTCTTCCAGATGAACTTTGATTCTTTTTTAAAGAACATAATCTTGTTTTGTTTTTTTGAGGCAGAGTTTCTCTGAGTAGCCCTGGCTGTCCTGGATCTCACTCTGTAGAGCAGGTTGGCCTTGAACTCTGAGATCTACCTGCCTCTACCTCCAGAATACTTAGGATAAAGGTGTGGGACACCACTGCTCAGGTTGATTTTTTTTTTTTCTGTCAAAGCACAAATGACATTTAAAGCATAAGTAACACAGGGCCATGTTCCAGTTCAGAAACCTCCAAAGTCTCAAGGAACCAAAATAGACCAAAAAAAAAAAAAAAAAAAAAAAAAAAAAATCAAATGATGAGACAAACCACACAAACATTTTTTTTTTTTAAATCGTAGCCATGAATGTGTGTAAGCAAATACTACAGATCCCAGAGAGATAACATGAGCAGCATTTGTAAAGGAGGACTTTGGATTTGGATTTATCAGTATTTTTTTTTTTTTACAATTGGCCTGTTTTCAACTATAACTTAAATATTTACAGTAAGTATGGGCTATGAAAAGACCTTAAAGTCTCAATTAGCTCCTGGACAGATGGAGCTCCCCAGTAGGCTCTCTGAATCTCTATGCCAGTTTCTCTCTGCCACTTCCTCAGAGGGAAACATCCTCTTCCCCTGTATACTATGGGACAGCTTCTATCCAGCCATCCTTACCTTTGTGGTCCACAGTTTGACAGTCCAGTCAAATGAGGATGTGACAAACAGATGAGAAAAGTCGATGGGGCCCACAGCCATGTGGCAGTTAATTCCCGTCACTGGCCCTTGGTGACCTTCGAAGACCTCGCCAATGCCTGCTTTGCTGCGGAGAGCAAACATAGAGCGTTTCAGTGATCTTTGCAAAGCTCAACCCTGTTAGAACAACCATACATGTAAACTGAATGAAGAAACTGAGCAGACTGTATTTAGGAATACACACATATATACATACATATTTGCATATAATCACAATTAATAACAAAAGAGGTCACAAATTTGAAAGAGAGCAATAGGGGTATATTTAAAGTTTAAGAGGGAGAAATGATGTAATAAAATTATGACCTCAAAATTAAAAGAAAAAAGTGACTAAACAAAAAGTAATCACACACGGTCAAGAATAAAACCATTTTCACAACAATTTTGACAGAAAAACAATCTTAAGCATTTAATAAGAAAAATTTTTATTATTTATCGATTTCTGGTGGGCTTACAGAGTTTGTTATTTTGGGGACACTGTTGTGGGGAAACAAATGCACTTGACTCTCAGGAGTTTTCTTATTAATGATGCAGCAACTCCTGAGATACCCAAGCTCTATTTGAGTGCCCTCTAAGAACTTTATTTTCTATAAAATGCAATAACTCTTTGAATGAATAGTTGTTTAAACCTCGAAGGAAACTTCTTAAATTAAATTGACACATCTAAAAAAATGTAACATATGAAGAAAACTGTTGTTGCTTCAGAATAATTCTCATGGTATGTCTATAATACAGAAAAGAGATCTTTCATTCCACTGGAAACTGAAGAGAGATCAGAGGTTCAATTTGTAAATTCCATGAGGCTAGCTTTCTTACATTTCTTGATGTGAAGTGTCTAGTACACAATAAATACTCTATAAATGTTTGCCGGATTAAATCACAAAGGAAAAAGAGAAAACTTATGCTCTTTAAAAAAAGCACACTTGGGAAATAAGGATGCACATTTTATAAATCCTCTTCACTCATGGATTATTTAACTAACTGAGCTGGGATTATTTCCAGCCTTCTCTTATTACATAATAGTCTGCATGCAGTCATATACAATCAGGCAATGCTTAGGAAATATATACCCACAATATTATATTTAAAAGATCCATATGCATGAGGTTATAAGTATGACAAACATGTAGGGATAGTGGAATCTCAATATTATGTCACTAAAGGAAGAATGAATTCAGTTATTAAAACATTTGGGTCCGGAGCACCAATAAGTGTCAATGTGCCGAGTAAGATTTGGAATCATGGGCAAAGCACTGCTGAGTGTCTTCCGCGTGACAAGCACTCAGCCATTAAGCTCAGTAAAACTGCTAACAGCGCTTCCAACATGGACTCAGCAAAGTATGCCCTGTTGAGCAGAGGCAGCCGATCTGTGAAGTGGCCCCTGGTGAGGCTCCACTTATTCTTAGCAGAATCCTGAGAGGCTTTATAGGGTGCAAAGTGAGGACCTCATTTAATTTGTGGAATTGGATTTGCACTTTACATTAGGTAAAAAAATAGACCCCCCCATGCAGCCCTAAATGACCCATTTAACATTATTACAGAGCTGACACTTGCTACTTTATGACCTTACCAAGATTTGCATTTTATGGTTCAGTTGGAAGGACCAATGTCAAAAGCAAAAATCAAACTTTTAGTAGACATTTGTGGTGTGAGTCAGAGGCACATTCTTTTGGACAACAATTCATATTCTGGGCCTGTTTGTAATAGCCACAAAATAAAAATACCCATCATTTAGAAGGTGGCTCGCTTAAGAATCTGGAAGAAAATCATAATGTACACTCCAGCTCATAAATGCTCTGAGTATACATACCCAGACTGTAGCTGAATCGGGTTAACCAAAAGTACCTTAAGACCCTTCCTCCAAGACAGGTAGGTGGTAGTGGCACCAGGTGGTGGTGGTGCACACCTTTAATCCCAGTACTCCGGAGGCAGAGGCAGGCGGATCTCTGAGTTTGAGTCCAGTCTGGTCTACAGAGTGAGTTCCAAGATAGCCATGACTGTTTTATATATAGAAACCCTGTCTTGAACCCCGCCCCTCAAAAGATCCAGCTTTAAATAACACCTGTCTACGTGTTCTTTCATTATTTAAGTACTGTCATTTCTTTATTTCTTATTTAAAGTTTCAGCCCTTCACCTAATAAGCATGTGCCAGGGTCTGGGGCAGGAAATCAAAGATGAAATGGAAACAGTTTAACAAGAGAAATATGGTAGAATAATGACTGATGAATGACTGATTGAAACAAAACACAATGGATGCTATTGCAGATGTATGTAGAAGAATATATAAAGTAACCAGCATGACTGGCTAAGGTTCTCTCTTGCTTATTCTACTTCAGTTGCTGTGATGGCTCTTAAGCAACTATCTAGTTTTGCATCAGTCTTTACTCTCAACAAGGATATAGGTACCTTGCGCTTTAGTATAGTCTTATGATGGTATCTGGTGCTAGACCAAGTAAAAAACCAGAGGCATTGACTGATGAAAGCACACAGGCTTAGGCAGGATTTGGGGGTTGTTAATCTCTGAGGGGTACATGGTTGGAGCCTGATGGTATGCATGAAAACGAGACTGGCAAGGAATCAGGGGTGGGATAGGCTCTGTGAAGAAGACGGACATTCTCTTCAAGGTAATGTGAAGCATCCATAGGTTTGTAAATCACCAGGGCCCCAGACAGATGTGTGCTTTAAGCTAATAGATTTGAGGTTGTGCAGAAATAACTATCTTACAAAGCAAGGTGGTCATAATCTAGATGGCAAGAACTTGGAAAATGAAGACCGTGTCATCAGAAAGAAAACAGAAAAAATCACCTTCCATGACGACAAGCTGTGTAGACAGTACCTTCCTCACTGCCAACCACGAAGTTGTTGACGTCTCCCGTCGGGAAAGCCATTCCCGTAACAGCAACAGGCTTGGACTTATTGTGCACCAGCTCCATGCTCTCCTACCAAAACATGGTGTGGTTACATTTCCATCTGTCAACTCCTCGCCATGCCAAAGATAGCATGGAAAAATCATTTGGCTAAATCGTCTGTTTGCTTTTCGCACAGTGCTACAAAAGACCCCCACTGTGCTAGAAGCCAGGCTCTACTGCCCCTGACATCCAGGCTGCTCAGTGTCTCTGGTTTCAGGCCGGCTGGATTTCATCAGCATGAGCCCCTGCTTCCCCAGTCAGGCAGAGATGACAGGTGAGAATTTTGAAACTAATGGTGCAGAAACTAAAGATAATACTGTAATGATTACGCTTGTCAGCTCCAGGCTTTAATAAAACACACAATACCCTTGTATTTACAAACATTTTCAAAACCAATTGTTCGTGAGAATACACATGTATTAATATCCGATGTACTAAACACATTTGTCACAGAGGGACTGTGGGTCCTCCGTGAACTGAGACCAGGAAATTGTCACTTGGGTCATGAAAAGCAGAATCCAACAGGAAGTAGACCCCATGAATGGTAGCTGTTGGGTGTATAGGCTCTGAACTCACGAAGAAAGTTATATAAATAATTGCTTCAGACCATGAGTCTTTATTATGGTAAAGCTCTGCTAAATTTAGAGAGTTCAAAAGACATACTTCTGGGGCTGAAAAGATGGCTCGGTGGTGAAGGGCACGGAGTGTTCTTCCAGAGGACGTGGATTCCATTTCCAGCCGGTGTGAGACAGCTCACAACTCCAACTCAAGGGGATCTGATCACCTGACCTCCATGACACCTCCACACACACGGAATACACTCACACAGACACACAACTTAAGAATACACTCACACAGACACACAACTTAAAATAAGTGTCTAAGGAAGATACTCTGTTAAATTCAGTTTAATGACAATGCAGGGTGATATCAGGAATGCCCCTCATTATTCCTGGCTATTTATATCAAGCAGCCTATTTTTGTGTATCTGAAGCTTGGCACAAACTGTTGGTGGCATTGTATGAGAACTAAGGTTGACTTCCTGTGCAAGTCAACCAAGCAATTTTAGCCACAGAGTTTATCAATTGGAAATCTATGAATTGCAAACCCTGGCTGATGGTGTATAGTCACAGGGACCCTGACCCAGGTAATCCAGCCCATTCATTGACACCACCACATTGCAGCAGGCTGACTAAGGGGACCATGCCTTGATAGTAACACAGACAATAGAGACATCTGATGTTCTGCCCCATCTCTAAAGTTAGTGGTGAGGAAGGAAATGAATGTTGGCCACTCACTGGGATAGGGTGGCACTGGGAGAGAGGCAGGCAACTGTGGGATGTCCCACTTATCCCTCAATGGGGACAAGACTATGAAATATTCCATCTCTGTGTAGAGCCAGGCATGTGTGGGCATGCTAATAATAATAATTAAAAACAAGCAAGCAAGCAAACAAACAAACATAAAAACAAAAAATGGGTTCAGAGCTCCCACACCACTGACTTAACTTAAACACATGCTTAATCAGCAAAAATGGGCAATTAAAAACTCTCAAGTAGAGGGTTTTCTCTGATATCTGTTTATAATCTCCAGGCTTTTAAAAGAAAACAACACATTGCTGAGAATTTTAATACGAAACCATAAACTATTCGCATACAACTGCAGGCCTGTATAAAGATCGACAAATCCAGGAAGCTAAATTGTGACCTGTTTATTAGCTCTCCCTCTCTCCCGCCCCTAAAGTATGTGAAAAACTTTAGTGTTCTCTACATCTGCAGAGACTTAAATGGAGTCTTTACAATTTCCACATGTCCTCATATATCTTGAAATTAGTCCTTTTCAAAATTGAATAGGAGACATTCTAAAGCTATCATTCTAGAAGAGGGAAAAGAATTGTGAGACTGGGGACTATTTTCTGGATAGTTCTATGATTTTTCTCATATATCTGCTGAAGACTATCCTGATGAATTTTTCATGGTTTCAAGCTGGGGGAGCATGTTACATTTTTTTCACACACAGACATGTGGAAAGCATGAGCATGTCTGCATTTATGCTTGTACACATGTGCACGTCACATGTGTGTGCTCTGAAAGTGGCGCTCAGACGGCTGCCTCCAGCATTCTTCCCTGCTCCAATCCTTTGTTTGGCTTCAGTTGCTGTGATCAGTAGTGGTTTGGAAACACTGGAACCTTTTCATTTTCGACTTCTCACTTATTGAGCAAGGAATGGCAGGAGCCATGTTCACAAACATTCCAGAGAGGAAAACAGGCGGTTGTCTAGGGCACAGGAACAAGCATCAGCCTAGATTTCTGTTTTGCTGGGATACTTTTCCTTTAGGCCAAGTCCCCAGAAGGGGTTGGTCTGCTGATCTCCAACCTCATTTGCATTGCTTCCCAATGCTGCAGTGAGTACAATCCACACTACATGGACTTCTATAATCAATGTGCTTTAAGATGGATTATTTCATTTTCATTGGAAACTGACCTAAGGATTAGTGTATTACAATAATGACATAATTTGTGGTAGAGGAAATTGGTCTTGGCTTCAAGGGCAGGCTGCTGAAACCAGGCCTTTAGGCCTTTAGGAGACACGTTCCTAAGCAGGCAGGTCTTTGAGCCAGTAATGTGTAGGTTAAAAAGACACACCTGAGGCGTTGAAAGCATGTCCAGGCTCCAAGAACACATTTTTCCATCCGTAGAGACAGTGATGAGGTTGTGAGCATTCTGAGTCCCAACAACATTGACACAGTACACAGGATGCTGCAAAAACATCAACACAGAGGGTCAGGTGTTGCTGCAAGGAGAAATGATTGCATCTGAGTGACAAGCATGATATTCTGACAAGGGCTACAGAATGACACCATCTGGCTAGTGCAGGACCTTCCAGTCATTTGCCATTTGTGAGCCCAGTTTTGTAGAAGTTCTGTAGCAACCACTAGTAATGGAAATACTTACAAAGCTTCACCTTGCGAACTTTGATGCAGTGAAATAGAACCAAAGAGAATGAGAACAAGTGAGTATTTGTGGGCCAGGAGCCTGGGAGTTTGGGTTACATGAGTAAGTCTACTACACAGCAAAGCATCTAAGCTCGATGCGAATGTGAAAAGGAACAGTCTTCAAAGGCATAGAACTATAGTCTTGGAAGGACTGTGTTATCAGTGCCAAATATTTGGTAGCATTATCTTTAAAAAGTGGTTAATACTCACTAGTTTAATTTGAGCAGGAATAGATTGGTGGTAACAATATACTTAGTGAAATAGAATTATGGTTTTCTTGTCTGTTATTTCAAAGTCTAAGGTGAGAGGTTTACTTTTCAGTTGGAGTTGTATGGAAGCTTAAATTTGGTTTCAGCCTTGACAAAGGTCATACATACATCCTGGGAACTATGTAAGATGCACTGGCATCTGTCAGAACTCGAGAAGCTTATCCAGTTCTGTAGACTTCTACACACTAGGCTAAATCCATTTGCAGCTGCTCACTAAACACTAAATGGAAGGTTAGAATAAGCAGAACCTAGCAGCAATTTGGGTTAGATTTCAGGCATCTCAGCTACGAGTGGCCAAACCACAACTTACTCGATGCTTCTCTGAACAAACATCTGACAGTTGAAGCTAGACTCTTGATGAGTTAGTGTCCATAATACCTAGCCACAACTACAATGAAACAATCTTCAATACTTGGAAGCTGGTATTACAGAAAGGATGGTTCTAAGACTGTTATTATCCTATAAACTCCTGGTCAGAAAGAACAGCAATAATCATTGAGTGTAGCTACTTGGCTGCATCTTCCTAGAAGTCATTCAAACTGGGCTGCAACACCTTTCTTACAGGGTGGTTGGTCAGTGTGAGCATTAACTACTGGGAGTTTTCCCTCCAGTAGCCATGATAAAAAAGCCTATGGATCTACTCAGTGCATTGAGTCAAAACAATACAACTATTTGCACATTTTTAGATTACTTTTTTATACTCCTCCCACTTTTAATTCCCAAATCTTGCATTAGGCTAGTTATCACTAATTCCTTCAAATCTTTCTCGGCTACCTAATTCTCAACATTTTCTTCATTTCAATCATTTTCTGTTGAATACACTGTCTTTTATCAAAGTTCACTAAGGGTAAAGTTCCAAGAACAATGAAGGACTATCTATCTACATTTTGACCTCATAGTGTAGAAATAAGTGTAGCAATGATTTGCATTTTAATACTCTGAGATATAAGCCATTAATGCATTGATAGATTACACTTTTTTTTAAATCATTCTATTATCTTCTACCCATGTTGATGGAGTGGCAGTAAGTTCCAGTGTCTTTTACATGCCACATTCCCACTGACACCTTCCTATATATTGGCATTAGTAGATCCACCCAATGGTAAGTATAGTTGATATTTGATATCTGCACATTCATAAGTACAGCAAGATAAATGGTATCTTGATCAGGTCTCTAAATACCAGAAGGATTAGTTGGGATGGGGCTGTATCCCCATCAGGTCTTTGGTATTTTGGAATCCTAAGAACTGTGTCCTCAAACTTAAGTCATGAATGAACATTGTAGCAGGCCAAGGTTAGAGAAGAGCTCAAACAGAAAAATAGATGTAACAGATTCATCTAAGAAATTAGATTTAGTAAAACTGATGAATATGTGTGAATGAATATTCAGAAAGCTGCTGTTGTGACTTGATGGGACTGATCTGAAAAGGCACTGTATTGAACTCAGTTTTCTCTATCTCTTTAGTAAAATGCATGGTACACTGCTGTGAACTTAAAGGCTGCCTGAACTACCTGAAGTTGTTTTTTTTCAAGAGTCAAATAGAACTTTGTTATTAACCACTGAGACCCAACACATATAACCCGAACTATAATCAGTTCAGAAGCCTCAAGGTGCAGGACAGAGAGGAGATGAGTCAAGAAGAGTAAATTCAAGCACATCTCTACTTAAAGGAAAGACACAGGCAACACAGCAACAGGACAGATCACTTTTTTTCCCAACAGAAATGCCAGCTTGTTTTTATTTATTTTAGGAATAAACATGCTGTGTGGCAGAAGGATTTTGTTTTAATTATGATTTCCTGTTGCCCCAAATACACACGTGTGGTGGGTGTGAAAGGAAATTAGCAAGCCCTCTGTGGAGAGACATTTTTTTTTGTTGTTGTTGCTGTTTGTTTGATCCTGGCACCAATCAGCCAGGCAACGATGGAAGTTGAAAGACAAGCACAAAACAAACTGTACGCATTTGAGCTATGGATTAGACAAAACACAGCGAGAGAGAGAGGACATGTATTTGTGTTTTATTTTCTAACAGAAACAATGCCACTCAGCTTGATAATAACAATGCTTAGTTGTGATGGCCACATTGTTCATTACTTGGAGAAGAAATGGTAAGTCTTCCAAAGAACTCCTGAGTTTGGAATGCCCCCAAAAACTTTTCGCTAAATTTTCTAACAGTTGGGTTTATAATTTTTTGAAAAATTGGAAGCTTGTTCACAAATGCACCAGACACCCACAGAGAGCCAAGGAATGGTTTTGTGCTATTCGAGGGGACACCTGCACTGGGCTGGTCTTCTCTTCAGCCACAATTTTCTGTTATTAGTTTGGAGAAATAGGGTAGGCGAGATCAATTTCCCAAGATTCCCAAGAACCATTTTTACCTGCACGTGTCTTTGGCCCCAGTCAATCAAAATTAGGACTGGCTTGGCATTTGCCATTTCCCATTGTCAAACTGAACAAGAGCGGGAGAATCCCCCCCCTCCCTTCTTGTCTCAGTGAAGCGTCAAGCCACCCATTTCCTAAGCTGGAATGGTTTTTGTGGACAGCAGATGAAACAATGCAGCAAGTATATTAAGGAAATTGGAAACAATGCTGGGGCTGTATCCTTGGGCATAATTCTGGCATTTCAGAGAAGGAACATCAGTTACCCTGAATGTCAAGGTAGTGGCGATTGATGGAGACATGCCTGTCTTCTTGTCCCTCCTAACAATTGCTCTTCACACCTGTCATTCTCTTAAAGGAAATGACAGAGTAGTTGTCTTGTGAACACTATGCTGAACCTCTTCTACTAAATTATGGGTAATGGTTTTGAGATGTTGACTTTTAACCCTGAGGATTATACTGTCACTGTAGACTTCATGTTGAGACACTACACATTCCAGAATTTAAAGTCATAGAACTCTTTCAAATTGCAGATGGAAAAGGCATGTTGTTGGCAAATGTCCCATATACCATCACTAGGTACTTGCTCTCTGTGGTCTGTTTGAAAATATGTTTGCATCTCAAATGCATCTCTTTAGGTAGAGAATTACAGGAAACCTTCTTCACTGGTGGCTTCTGAACATCAAAGGAGCTCTTTCTATGTGCTAGAACTTGAAGATTTCCTGAAAGTCAGTGCGTTTTTGTTTGTTTGTTTGTTTTGTTCTTTTGTTTTTTATCTTTATTTTTAATGTGGTTCTGGATGGCCTGGAGCTCAATATATAGACCAGGGTGGTCTAGGTCATCTAGAGATCCATCTGCCTATGCCTCCCAAGTATAAGCCAATGCTTCTTTAGCCCACTGATTTTTAGGCAGGCTCTTTCTCTGTAGTGCAGGATACCCTCAAAGCTGGATTTCTCCTGACTTATCCTCTAGGATGCTAGGTTAGAAGCATGCAGCATCACACTTTATCTGCTATTCACTAAGCCATATTGTAGTCAATTAGGATGCAGGCCCTATAAATTGGTCACCTCTAACTCAGTTAACACTGTTGCTCTGTAAGCTGCTTCCTCTCTTGGGGCTTGGGTCAGTGACAGCAGTATGGTAAAAACTTGACTTACTGTATGTGCAGCAGCTGACAAGGGGGTCCGCTGGACAGGGGTCCTTCGATGACTGCGATTGTCCCAGAGGACAATCTGGCCTGAATAGGTGCCACCGACCACCAAATTAGGATGAAAACGGGCAAAGCAGACTGACATCACTGAGGACTGTGTGGGAGGAAAGAAACATGGTGAATATGGTGAATGGTCATTGAATTGTCTCTGCTTTCTTCCTAGATAGAAAACAGCCCGTCAGACAAGTTCAACAACTCCCCCTCCCCCCAGAAGACATAAAACAATGTAAATCTGACTTGTGAAATACATAGAAGGACATTTTATACACTAGCACAAGATTTTTTTTAGAGGTCAACCAATGGCTTACCCCCTTGAAATCTGAAATTTGAAGTCTTGGCTATGTTGTCAAATAGGCAGAAAACCTATCTTAAACACATCATTGTTTTGTGGTTAATGAAGTTCACATTGTAGACATTTTCCATCTCTTGAGTAAAATTGTGATAGAAACGCTATTAATTCCTGACTGGGACCCCAACCAAGCAATCCTTTATTCTGAATGCAGCACAGAGGCAAAGTGATTCTAGCTTCAAGAATTTTAACACTTTTTTTCTTTCTTCTTTTTTGGCATAATATAGACTTCTAGGATGTATCCTGACCTCAGAAGGATCCAACCTGCTCCTACTAAAGTTCCTCCTATGGGCATTCCCTACGACCTTCTCCTGCCTACTTCAAACAACTCTTAATGCTATCCCTTGCCTATTTTAACAAGGAGTCAGAAATGGACCTCAATCCAACTTGACCATGCTCTGTCATAATGTCACAGTGTGGCTTCTGAAATTCCACAAAAGACTACTTGGCACTGAAGTTCATGTAAAACAACTTAGTTGAGGCACTTGAAGCCAGACGACTCCCACATCTGCTACATTCCTTTTGATTTCTGGAACACTCCCCATATTGCATTTATAAGCTGAAGTAGTGCTTTCAATAAACACATATCACTTCTTCAATTAAACTCAATGAACAGTTGCTGAGGATTTACTATGTAGAAGGAAGGCATTATACCAAGATGTAAATAAAGGCACAGTGAATGCCCTAACAGATGTGAGCTCTACTAATGGGAATGGAAGGAACACAAATTCAGATGAGCTGAGCCACTGCTATGGAGGCAGTAACTTAGTGTGAAATAGAGAAAGTGTCCCTTGTTATAGATACCATTGTGAGGACAGTCACATGTCTTGGCAAATAAAGATAGTGGAATTTGATTATCTGTTGTGTCTTGAGTGCACCATCCTGGTGCAGGATACAGCTTATTACTAAAGGAGTAACCATGATTGTAATACCAGATCCCGTTAAACCAGAGGGGTCTGTGTGCGTGTGTGCGTGCGTGTGCGTGTGCATGTGTGTGTGTTTAGCATGTAAAGGCTCAGGGAAGATTAGTTTTAGTGAGAGGAAGACAGTTAGATTATGGAAAAAGCAGAGTACTTATAAAGGCTTCATGGAAGGGGATGTATTAGGCCTTGAAGTGTGCGTAAAATTGATACAGAAGAAAAGAAATGCATTTCAGAGCAATGAGATAATAAAGGTGGACTGAAGATTGCTGAAGAACAGTCTGCTACCTGACTGGACTGGGAGGGACGGCAGGAAAAGCACAGATTTTGAACAAACAAGCATCAAAACGCTATAATGAATAAATAGAGTAGTGATCAAGGGAAACTGGCTTGCTTTTGACTGGAAAGCTGAACTTCCCCTCCCGCCCACCCTCCCTCCCTCCTTCCCTCCCTCCCTCCCTCCCTTCATCCCTCCCTCCCCCTCCCTTCCTCTTTCTTTCCTAACTTTCTGTTTTCCTTCCTACCCAGCTTCTGTCCTTCCCTTCTCTCTTTCTTTTCTTTCCCCTTCTCCTTCTTTCCCTCCCCACCTCTCTTTCTTGGTGTTTTGAGACAAGGTCTTTCTCACTATACTGCCCTGGCTGTCCTGGGACTCACTATAAAGATCAGGCTGGCCTCGAACTCTCAGAGATCTGTGTGTCTGCCTCACAAGTGCTCCCATCAAAGGTGTGAATCACCAAATCACGCACAAACTGTCCATTTCTTGGTAAGAACAATAACTAAAAGCTGATCTGATCCTCACAAGACTCCCTAGTCCAAAAGAAAAGTGCCTTCTCTCTCAGCACTCTGAGGCAGAAGAAAGAACGGGGCTATTTTTCAATGTCATGTTTTCCTAGTTTGAATGATTTTCAGATCCAATTCCTTGAACACAATTGGACAGAGAACATGCCCATGCCCCAATCTGGTTTTCATAAAAGCTAAGAATAACTCTGAATAATGATGCCGAATTAAAGAAAAAGAACATAAGGCTGGTCAGCTTCTTGTTTTACACATCCCACAGAAATGATTCTTAGCTTTCAATTGATGAAATTCTTATGCTTCTTGAGCTATGTTGGAAACTTAAAAAAAAAAAAAAAAAGAAAAAGAAAAAAGAAAAAGCTTCAGAGAGTCTTAAAATCATCCAGGTGGTATCACCAATTGAATTTACGAAAGCCCAAATCAATATGGATAAAGGAATGTCATTCAATTGGAAAAACCCAGAATTCAACCACTTGATTGCTTCCCTGTTTCAGTTAAGTCCCAGCAAATTCTCCTGCAAATCTCACACAGTTTATTGCTGGAATGAACTGGAGGAGAACAATCAGTAAGAGGTATTTCTGAAACTGACAGACAGAGCTAACAATGAATTAAAATCTACTCCATGGGCTGGAACTAATACCCTCTTGTCCATTCATTCACTGGTTCCATCTTCATTCATTCATTCATTCATTCATTCATTCGTACATTCTTTCTTTCTTTCATTTGCTAAATCATTTCAGAACTTTCCCAGTATCATAACGCCCTGCTTGAGAGCCAGAGTTCTATTTAACCTCAGTAAACCATCAAGTGAATGTTGCAGAAGAGGAACCCCATGTTGGGGTGTGGGACCAATCACCACAATTAACTTTGTTTTTCTGAAAAGCAGTTTTTATGGCATCATTAAGAGGACTAAAAGCACACATTGTCACTTTCCTCTGATATTCAGAAATTGAAGTATGGTTACCTTAATCAACTTTACTCCTATTGAACACATCACCCCAATCATAACACGTTAACATTATGTGATGAGCAACATAAATGTACATTCTACAAACAATCTGTCTTCTTTCTTTGTGCATCCACCTTGACACACATGACCTATAGGTTTACATACAGAAAGTTCAGCAAACAGCTCCAGGGTTTGCCACACTTGATATGATATTACCACTCATATGGAAACACTGAAATGATGTGATCTTAATGGCCTACATGTAAAATTTGGTTAGAATTTGGTCATTTCTTGAGCAGTTCTTAAATCCACCAGCGTTTGAGGCAGGGATGGCAAACGTCTGCACGTTGCCCTTAAGTTTTTTTGTTTTTTAAACCTTTCATCCCAAAGCATAGGCTCCTTTAGACTCCACCCACAGCTCTGGAAGTTCTGAGAGCTCTTCAGATTTGGGGGATTTTGCATCAGCTATGCTCAGAGGGGGGTCTTGGAGACATCTGCATCCCCCTGCTGCTCATGAAGCTACTGTCTTCACTACTGCTACAGCCTGGGTTGTCGGGGAATTTACTAACTGCCAGAGAAAAACGCAAATGGTGGTATCACCCACCCACTTACAGCTGTCTGGTAAAAAGGAGAAAAATGCGTCTCAAGAAAAGGAGTTGACACGTCTAAAAAAAGAAAAGGGTTATTATTATTATTTTCTTTCCCGCTCTTATTTTTAGCAGCATATTTCCAAAGACAATTATCTTGGAAAGCATTTTATTAATATTAATGTTAGTTTAACATTTGTCACTCTCCCAGACATTAAGGTTGTGTGTTAGCTTAGCCATTTAACATTGTAATAAGGCATTATTAAATTAAGAGAAGGAACATTAAGAGGGTAAAATTAATTGGAATCAGGATGTTTTCTTTTTTCTTGACTCTCTTGGGGTCTATAAAAATACACATATGGCCTAATGCATGCTTGCCATTCCAGCCCTTGGGAAGTAGTAGCATGGGAGTCAGGAGCTTAGGGCCAACCTGGGCTACATAACCAGAGCTGCTCACAAAGAAATCAAACACACGCATGTGCAGATATTCTTACATTCAAATTTCTTAGTTACTGGATTTTATTCTTTCAGGTGTTAATGCCTCCATTTTGAAAAAGAAAATATGGATGGCCTTTGGAGTAGGGTAAACTAAGAAAGGAGCTCCTGTGAGAGAAAAGCGGTGAAGTTGGTGAGAATTTTTGGACGATGTTAACTGTTTCGTCAATGTAAACTGTTCCTGACACCCCAGTTGAACTCTGCTTTCACAAAGTTCGTGATTTCATTGATGTGGCCATGTTGGTGGTCAAATCAGAGGCCTAGAAATATGGTAAGCCTATATGTTAAGAGCTTGATATAAAACTGGCAACCCTGAATATGTTGCACACAGAGGTGGGGAAGTCCTTCCTAACAGGACACACAGCACATTTTGTCTATGTAAAAAGCACAATTGCTCCCAAATCAGGACATGGGACAACCCAACACTGTATGTGAGGAGCAAGCCACCTTCACTGATAGGTGTTGGTGTCTTCCATAGGTGTTCTTGCTGAGAGACTATCGAAGATATGTCCTATTTTTCAACCTTGAGCAGATCACCTAGTTATAGGCATCTCTGCAAATCAGCCTCACCCATATTGTTACATGTCCCCAGAATGATGTACCCATTAGAGAGGGCTACACATCGTTACCTCTGTTTCAAGAGAACTCAGGTCATTTTGCCCCATTCATGGGGGAATTCCAAAGGGTGGAGACTCCACTTTGAGCGTCTCCCGTCACTCATGGTATACCACTGCATTCAATTCAGTCAGCCCAAAGTCTTCTTTAAGTGGTTGAGGAGGCTGTTTTACATTTTGTAGAGTTAATCTAGGCCAGCTTAGGGATCAGACTCCCCCTTAACCACAGACCCATATTCTGAGGGTGAACAGCCTTTGGTCACTGCTGTCTGGGAAGCTTGCCCCCTAGGTTCACATTTGATCTCATTCCCCGTGTCCTTCTGTGGGTGGCACTCTGCCCACTCCCTAGCCACCATGCCTGGGTGGGAGCGATAGGAGGTCCTGC